TTTTCATTCGTATCCCATATTACGTGTCCCCGAGATGCGCAACGTCGTAAATGTCGGCGCCGTTGAAATTCAAACACGCGACTCACTTCGGATCAACGATTCATCCCACCCCCGCGAATCGTGGCAGAGGGCGCGAGATTCGAGTGGCCGCGGATCTAAAGATCGGGCCACTTCGAAATATAATTCTTCTCTTATGTATTTTTTTTTTTTCTTTTGCGAAGGATACGCGTTCCGGTTTGCTTGTTGCGTAATTGCTTTGAACAGAGAGATAAAACCGCCCAGCTTTTTACGTAATTGTTTTGAAAAGAGAGATAAAACCGTCATAATTTATATAGATATTTCAGTTTTGTGGTGTTAACGACATTAATGAGATGATGATAACACTGACGATAATAGTATTAGTAATTAGAATAATGATAATAATAATAATTTTAATAATAATAGATAAATGACAGCTCGCGAGCTAGGTAGCTCATAGATTAGGAGCGATAATAGTGAAATTAGCAATAAATGATTTATTTACATTTTGAGCTACTTGCGCGCTACTATTTGTCCATTATTGTTATGATTTTTTAATTTATTCCTTAATTATCTGTTATAATAATTATTAGTATTAATATGCTACTTTATTATTATCATTATTATCGTAAACGATAAAATGTATATAAAATATACGTAGGAGTATAACTAAATATATATTATGTTTATGTAAATAACGATTTTTAATGTTATACTTTTCATTTTTTTTTTTAGAACGTCTTTTATTCCCGAAAGAATTACAAGAAACCAGAACTCCAGATATCGCCGCATCAAACATTTGAGGAGGAAGTCGCTCTGCTGGATTCTCTCTTCCCTGGTAATTATCAGGTTCTTAGATTAATTTTTATTATTCAGGAAGAATAGAAGAAAGGAAACAATTGCACGAGAGTGGAAAGAGTTCTTTCAATTCAGATCGCTTGTTTCTTGCATTGTTTCATACGTTCGAAATATCGAGGATTCGGAAGCCCGATCACCATAGCTTCAGTTTTTGTTTTAGATGGCGAAGCTTACTGCATGGGCTCGCCCGAGACAGATTGCTGGTATCTATATACTTTGATTCGCGATAAGCCGCTGCAGGATCCTCCAGAACCGGATCAAACTCTGGAGATACTGATGACGCAACTGGATCCAGACGTGATGTCAATTTTTACGAGAGATGTCTGCTCGTCCGCCGACGAGGCGACGGTGAAGTCAGGGATCGATAAGCTCATTCCCAACATGATTATAGACGACTTCCTGTTCGAGCCATGCGGATACTCCATGAACGGGGTCTCTAAAAACGTGAGTCGCGAGCATTGAGAATGATTTTGAATTTATGGATATTTAGCTAAGATTGAAAGATATGTTTTGTAAAGTAATATGCAAGCATATATTTGTGGAGTGTAACGTGTAGAAATATTATATTCCTTGTAAAATAGATAAATATATATAAATATGAAATAATTAAGATTTCTAGCACTTAATTGCAATTAGAATTAAAATTTATATTGTGTCATCCTAAATTCTAAACGTCTTAATCATCCATGATGATGAATTTTTTTTTTATTTTTCTTTTATCTATATTTTTTCAGGGTAGTTACATGACGATCCACATCACACCGGAGCCCGAGTTCTCGTATGTGTCATTCGAGTGCAACGTCTCGGAGACTTCATACGACGAGATAATTCGTCGTGTACTGAACACCTTCAAGCCGGGCAAATTCGTCGTAACGATCTTCGCCAACAAGCAGTCCGCGGCGGCCAACTGTCCGCGCGAACTCGAGAAACGTTCCGACTATTTGAATCGCTCCGGCGATTGGCTGCGCACCGACGTGCAGTACTGTCGCTTCCCGAATTATGATTTGACTTGCGCGTTCTTCTCTCGCTTCCCGAGCTGAGGGTTCAAGGACGCTTCATTCGTCTCGCAACCCGGGACCAATGAAGCGCGCATCATCCCCGTTTCTCCCTGTCTCCCTCCCCGTGACCATCGTCGCGACGGCGCGACGATGATCCCGACGAGTGGAGACAGAGAGCACTCCACCATCTCCCCGCAGTCACCCGCTCTCCAGGATCGTGATGTCTCCAGCACGATGCCAAAGAGCAACACGGACGGCGCGGACGTTACAGTCCGCTCGGCGTCTTTGCCACAACTGACGACAAAGATGCCGCGATCCAAGGTGTATCGTAAGACGTCCCTTAAGAGTCCGTCTCTCAAGTGCGAGATCGACGCCAACAGCGATGGTAGCGGCGCTACCGAGAGAAATGGCGTTGTACGATACGTGAGCGTTGCCGCGGAGAAGAAACAGAAGAGGAGAAGCCTCGCGGAGAAGAACGCCGACTCGGTCGCCACATGCGAAAACAAATGGAATTCCGAAGACATCCATATCACATGCAATCCCCTGTCAACGCCATACCCGTACTCGACGCCAACGGCGACCACCACGACAACGACCACCACCGTCACCACTACCAGTAAAACGACAGCGACGACGACGGTACAGAGCGACGAGGAGCCGAAGAGCCGCAGTTGTGGCAGCTTCCTACCGATACTCGCCCTGATTCCGCATTCGGTCATCAGCTTCCAGTATCTCAGCCCGAAAATGAAGTTCTCATGGTGGCGGAATAAAATCTCGTGAAGGCACGCATAGACGCCCACCGTCGTCGCTGTCGACGTTGTGCGTCGCGACGCCATCTCGACTTGTTTTATGAAGAGATATGCCTCTCTTACCTCTTAGCGAGCTCTCTGTCTTTCTCTCTCTCTCTCTCTCCTTTCCCCCCCTCCTGTCTCTCTTTGCTTATATATACATATGTATTTCTCTCTCTTTCTATGTATCTCACTTCCGGCCAGTCTTCATCAATTAGAGGAATCCTGAAATTCATCATTATCTCGCGAAATCTATATTAATATATTCGCTTAAACGCGAGCTGTTACTAGTTGTAACTTTCGCAATTACGAAATTCTCATTGTCGAAAAGATGCATGCCTCGGTAATGTGAACACGCATTCGAATGCATGATATTTTCACAATAGTCCTCTAACGAGTTTCCGTGCGTAGAATCATGAATCATGAAGTTTGGTTCCGATAGGTTTTCAAACATTTAACAGTTTTGACATAATGTCAAGATGTAATTGTTCAAGATTCATACATTGGGAATGTATCAATATTAAGCAAAATTCTAAGGAACCAAACTGACTCTCTCTCTTTCTCTACAGAAAGCACTGTAACTTTTGTAATGTAAAACAATCTCCTAGTTATTTCAACTTGCCGAAGAGAAATGTATGGTGTTTATTAACATACACATACGACGTTTTTTTACGTCGTCGGATCCTCTAGTCGATCAAAGTTCCTTTCTCATATAACACGCTTTTACCTCGTATTTTTCGAAAATTCGCTCGAAGAGAACAACGTATGTAATCCCCATGGGTTTTACAACGCTCTAGGAGATATCTAAAAGATATCCGAACATTCTAGAGCCAAAACCTTGTACCATTTCAAACTTCCATTGATCATGATTAATGGAGAAAAAAAATATTCGGTTTTCTTTGCATTTTGCTCAGTCCGTCTTTTCTTTTTCTTTTTTTTCTTTTTTTTTTTATTGAGCATATAAAAGTATTATTCCAAGATTCTAGAACATTTAACTGAGACGCAAAAATTACATAATCCAAGAATTTGAAGATCGTAGAACCTAAGGATCCACAGTTCCTAGAATCTAACACCTAATGATCCAAAGACCTTAGAATCTAAGTACGCAAAGATCTTAGAACATAAGGATTCAGAGATTCTTTAAAATTTAAGGTGATGTCCTTGAACGTTAGAGCGTAAGGATCCAGGCTACTTCGCGAGGATGCGAGATTCCAAGATGAAATCGAGCATTTTTTTGAAGATTCTAGAATGTAAGGATTCAAAAGAGACATTATAAAATCTAAGCGTCTAACGATCAGACATAATAAGTATTTCTGCATTAATTGGAGTTTTCTTTGGCGAATTTCCCTAATCACAAAAATGAACGTCATCGATGACGGCAATCATAATTTTTTTCGAGATACACATAGAAAATGGAATGTCGAGAAAAAAGCTTTACGTAAGATTAAAAATATAACGGAGAGAAGAGGAAATAGTCGTATGTCTCGATCCTTTCGAAATTCTCCGTGGAAGAAAGTGTCGATCGGGACACGCTGGGAAAAAGATAAAGATATATGTCATCTATTTTGTTACGTGTACGCCATCGCGTGGAATCACGCGAGAAGAAAGCGAGGATCGATCTTGTCCTCGAATCGTGGTCAGGAACGGTTGTAAGCCGTCAGTGTCTGTATCGAGATATAGAGAAACCGTGCATCGCGACGCGAGATCTGGTATTGTCAGACGATGACCGTCGCAATGAAACGCATATTAACATTTTTTTTTTTTTTATTTTACCGTTTTCTTTCTTCGTTCCCACATTTGATTCTGCGTTGACCATCCAAGCGGCCGTTTTTATTTGCGAGACAAAACGACGAGTCGCTTTGACTGTTATATGTTCAGACCCGTTAGTAAGTTGATGGATTCGTTTCTCGCCGCGATTCTCTTAATCGACGATCTTGGTACCTTTTCTTTTTTTTCCCCCCTCCCCCTCCCATTTTACGGAATCGTACAACAGAGAGTGACATGTTACTGTTGCTACAACGACAGAATCAAAGCTATCGTTCGTCGAGCAACAATTCCATCTCTTGTATGCTTTCCGATTTTAATAAATCATTTTCGTAAACATGCATCTTTCGTTGTGTCCTTTATTTTGTCGAATTTCCTTTTTTTCTTTACCTGCTTTCAATAAATTTTAATCGACGAACGCGTATTTAATTTTATTCTTCGCATGCGCTTAGAATAATTGTAAAATTCCCTCTTTTAATTCAATTTTAACTTCTTTAAAGAATCGTATCATTGAAATGATCGATTGAGATTATTTTTCAATTTACGTTACAGAAGTGAGAATATTACAAGCAGCAGAAAAAGAACGCGAGAGATGTTTTGCTTGTTTTTTTTTTAACAAATTCTTTAATGTTATACTTCGCATTTTTTACGAGCGCTTGACTTTTTTTTATTTTTTACAATATAATTTATTAATTACAATTTTTGTTCCTAGCATTATCATTAATCATTAGATCTATAATTCAACGACTTCTATGAAATAGATAAATAAGATCAATCGATGTGCGATATTAAAATAAGCGCGGTTAACGAGAGAGTACAAATAATTAATCGATGTAAAGAACTTAATCGATAGCGATATCGACAGGATATAGAAAGAGAAAAAAAAAGGAAAAGAATATACTGTAACACATCGTGGAGTGCTTTCTGAAGCATTACTAATCGTTGCTAATAGATCACTGTTGCATGCTAAAATAAATAAATTTTTGTGTAAAATATATCTATGAAATAAAGATTATATTTAGTCAATGAAAGCGTTTACGCAATTTATTGCTCGCCGTTTATTCCTCGCGTAAACTGGTAAACCATCGACCATCGGTATCTCTATATCAAATTTTTTTTCAAATTTTTCTTCGTGTTGAAGTTATTAAGAGAAAGCGAATATATTTTATCACACTTATATTACCATACTTTTAGTATACGTGTATCTTATTTTTCTCTTGCGCTTCGCGTTTCTCTTCTTAACATCTTCTTGAAGTTGCGCGTGGAAGTCGCAGACACGCACTTCCAAGAGAGGGTTTTGCCACCGCCTCGAGATCACGACATGTTGGAGAACAAATCTCGCCGTCGTTAGATCACAGCGTTCGATCCTGTGTGCTGACTGAAACGTACGCGCGTCCCGCCAAACACGGCGTTAAATCTGGACCGGAAGCCCTGCCGGGCGCTCCGCTGCACCATTTCCGCACACTCGTTCGCTATCGCGGACATATCCCCCTCATACTCGCTTCGGATTCTGTCCAGAGCTGCGATGCGAAGAGCGAGTTTAGCTTCCACAGTATTCTAAAACATCTCAGAAATTATGTCAAGACGAAAGAGAAAGGATGGCATATGCAAACCAAGATTCGCGTGAAGATTTATCCCAATGCAAAAACTACATGAAATAAATTCATTTGTTTTAATCTTTGAAACTTCTGTGAAAATAATCGGATATGTTTTTTTCTCCCCACGGAAATTACCGGTCTTCCTGTTTTCTTTCCGTTTGATTTAATTCATAACAAATTTTAAAATATTTATTGTCTATATATCTTCTTTCCTTTCTTCTTGATTAATTATTACATCACATTGAATCTTTACAGTTCTTTACAGATCTTTGAAAGGATAGTTGCGATATTACCTTTCTGCAGATCCATTTCGTCCATCTCCGTGTTGCTAATCTTCGAGAGTTCGTTCCGAAAATTTTTGGTGATCCTCTTACGAATATAGTCCGCCTCGATCTCTTGCTTCGTTCTAGGTACACGGAAACGAATGCAACAACACAGCCCGATGACTATGCTCAGCAAAATGGAAAGAACGATGCCGGCGAGTTGCCAGACGCGAATGTCCAGGAATACCACGTTTTCCAGCAACTGCTGCACCGTGTCCTCCATGTCCTTGGTGGAGACCTCGCTCGACGAGCTGGGAGACACGGACGAGTACGTCGGCAGCGTCGTCTCCTCCATTGTGCTTTAGTAAAAACGTTAAAATTCGGCTCTCGAATGTTTCAAACGAGACTCCGAATAGTTTCTTGTTTGAAATTTTTCGGATTTTATCCGAAAGGATAGAACCTCGTAATCCGTGATTTTAATTAATTAATTATGTGAGAAACGTTATTTGTTTCCTCGGTTGTATATCCTTCTCGACAGGATACTTCTGACTTGTAGAAGAGACGCGCAGTCAATGTCGGAGTGCTAGGCGTGGCTGCTTAATTGAACGGCATGTTCCGACACTCCCTATTTTACGCCGCTTACTGATTACAGATCAATACTATAGGTATGAAAGTACTTTGTAGATTGTTAATGTCGTTTTTATTATCTCTCACAATAATCGGATGTATAGTCATTAAGTAGACGATAAAAGTATCGAAAAAGGGAACGATCGCGTTAATTAACGATATTTGCTTGATGGTCTGCCTATCAAGCCAAAATGCAATGAGAAAAGTAAATAAACAATAATAAGTTAATTACTATCTTTGCCTTATTAAATTTCTCAGTTTAATTACTTCTGGCGATTTAAAGAATATTATTTGAAAAATTTTGCGACGTGTAATCACAGATTTAGTAAATTGAAAGTCCGTAACATATTTTTACGCTCTGTTAACGATATCTCGTGATTTCATAACAGATATCACCATAACGCTAATCTGTGTAATTCGATGTACTCGCCCAAAATGCCAGATACAGTTCAGGGTATATTGCAACGTACAATAAATTGTTCGAGGTAAGTCAGCATAATGTGCAATCGAATCCAATACTTCTTCAAGTATCGGCGATACTGTATTTAAATATTAGATCACTGTAAAAATTGGTAAAACAACGTTCGCAATAACTGTCAGTGTGCTCGGATGCAACTATGGCGTCTTCGAATATCCCTTTCTCAATAAACAAGACGTTGTTGCGTTGTGCGATCCGATGCGAAACATTCGTTTTTCCTCATTCACTTAATGCGGCGCTACATCTTTCCGAAATATAGGGCACTATTCGAGACAGATTGAAACTCAAAAATCCGAAGCACTTAACTCGCTTAACTCGCGAATCGAAGAATATTTTCGCGAGAAATCTCGCTTGCAGGACGTTCCCGATCGCAGTTAGCCGTACAATAATCCTTTGCTCTCTTTTTTTAAAAATGTTTACACTTTTGCTCCTATAGTATATTCATTCTTTTCTAATAAATGTTCGTCCTCTGTAAAAAATAAAAATTCAAATAAATAATACAGTAAATTTGAGTAAATACTATAAGGATAATTATAATTTTGTTTAACCTTGTGCAAAAAGAATGTTGAAACGGAAAGGATTTGATTTAAAATTTCTAGAAACAAGGCTAATACAGATGCAAAGACATAATAAGAATTGCAATGATATGATAAGAAATTTATAGTAATTTATCAAGTAATCGTAGAATTACGAACAAATATTTTAAAATAGTTCTCAAATCAGTTTGTTTTTTTGTCGTTTATGTGTTATGTGTGAGTTAGCAATTAAAAACTTACGTGATAGTCTTCTTTTCAGTATTTTTGGATTGAGATCTCGCTCTGTTCAGCACTTTAAGGAAATCCGTAGTCTTAGTACGCATCCTCGAATGGATGTAAACCTTACTGCATTTAATGTGGTAGTGCAGATAATTCCTAAACATATGTATCAAGTCGATGGTGTTGTCACGAGCTTCTCGATTGGTGTGTCGTGGAAATAATACTAAAATATAAAATAAAAATATAAAATATTAAAATTATATGGATAGGTGACATTAGCATGGAATATTTGAATAATAAGTTACATAGATAAGTGTTAGCAAAGAAGAAAAATATCTAGAGCCATATTAAGGCAAATTGATAAATGCTTAAAAATTGAATTTTTAATTCTTTTTACCGAACGTGATGTAACCAATGCAATCTCCGACTGCCGCCTCGGAATCCTGTAACTCCAAAGGTGGTTCGCGGTGATTAAACAAGACTTGCGGGGCGGTATGACTCGCTCGTCTACCTTCTTTTAGTTCTTGAAGAAACAGTTTACCAATGACCATATCATCTTCATCCTTGAATATTGTACTGAATACTACTGTAACTCTGTCACTTTTGGCCTCTACATACCTTCATGAGAATTAAAAAAGTTAATAATAACAATAATAATTATAAAAATAATTAAATCATCTCATGTACAATTCTTACATTGTTTCTTCATCTCGATATTGGATTACAGCTCTCTTCTGTACTGGTCTGCCTGGAGAATCACAATACTCTTCTTGGAAGTCAAAGTACTTTTCAAAGACACTGGCAAAGCAATGCCTCTTTAATAGAGCAACTTTTCGCACTAAAGTTTCCCAATCTTCTGGTAATTTCTCTAAATCTATCAGCACTGATACATTATAACCTGTAAAAGTGATAAACGATCTAAAGTGATTAATTATTTTTATTTGTACAAAAGCTGCAAGATATTTAAAGCAAAAAACTAACCGCTCTCTGGTGCAATGAGATGAGACCCATATTCTCGTTTGAGCAACTCGTCCGCCCCATGCTCTTGTAACTGTTTATAAAATTTGAGCAGAATACTAATCTGTAAAAAAAGCACAATATTTAAAAAAACTTTAGAGAATTAATGAATATTACTTAAAAATGCATTAAATAAACAATGATTACTCTACAATTGCTTACTCTAAGTTTTGACTTGTCCCCACTGAGGTTCGAAATGTGAAACAACACACCATCAAAGTCTGCTATAACTACATCTGTTGACTCCTGCTTGTGTCTACAAAAAAAGACATCGTTAGAAAAGTTATTATAAGGTTATTGATTTGACAAGATTTTATAATTGTGGTAGATTTAAATATAAAACATAGTAGAAAGTGAAAAAAATAAGATAAAAATTGTAGATGAATAGAACTCTTGAAAGACAAAAAGATTTCAAAATAAAATCACAATGTAGAAAGAAATGGTGATAAAACAAATCAAAGAGATGAAAATTTAATTTCAATAAATTACTAAGAAAGGTTTTATAAACATGACAGATCTGAATAAACCAGGAAAAAACACAAAGAGCAACGTTTTAAGAATAAATTCCTAAAGAAAATAACGCAAAGCAAAGACAAATTAATATAATAGAAAATATAAAAAAAAACGAGATTAGGCAAAATTTAAATTTTGGCTTCTTTCGAAAAACAAAAATTTCATAAAATCAACGATGAGAAAAGAATGTTTGATGCAAAACATCAAAGGCAAGATCTCAAAATGGAAAAGCGACATCAAGTAGGAAAAAATAGCTGAAGAAAAGAGGAATTAAAAGAGTAAAGTCTCTAAATTCTATGAGACATATGAGGAAGTAGAAATTTCTCATAAAGAAATGCGGCACCGCCCTGGAGCCCATCCGTCCTGCAGATTGAGGTTAGATTATGCGGTGGTCACCGGGATTCCCGAAGCGAGAAAATCGCAGGACGCTTACCCCGATAGAGAATTCTTGATTTTATTCGCCAATGTTTCCTCGAGTATCCTGTTGTGTATTTCGAGCAGAATCATGATTACTACGTTTGGCAGGAAAAGCCGATGTGTGATACGTGGCGATAAACCCCAGACGGATCACGCAAAACCGCGACAGATTTATCATCTATTCGCCGTTGACTAATGCCCGATTGTTCGCTCCCTATTGATAAAGCTGGACAACGATGCTAGTCTTACCATCGATAAGGTAGATCTCGCATTTTACCATAATATAGATATAGTGAAAAAATGCTACAAATATTTCTTTTTCTTCAAGAAAGAGTTAAAAAATAAATTAAGCCGAAATTAAAATTAATCGGAAATAGACATACATACATTAAAAATAAACATACATTATAGTGGAAATTATCTTTCAAAAAAATTAAGAAATTTATCTTATCTTTATGCACATAAGAAAATTATTTTGCAAATTCTAATACATTCGTAAGAAAATTGTTTTGTAAGTCAATATTATTTTTTAAATGATAACTTTAATAAAATGAATTGAATAAATTTTAATTAAAATAATACAGAAGATTATATGATCTCTTTTTTGTTATCTATAAAATTCAATAGGATCGAGACTCGGGTTGTTGAAATTAATTTCTGTTTGTTTTTCATGCTCTAAATGCTTACATTTGCTTACAGCGTCTAAAATGAACAATTGTACTATTTCAATAGTAATGAGCCTAAAGCGAATGCAGCCTATAATTCAAGATCGCAATTGGCATAGAAAACCGAACGTGCGCTATCTGCTATCTGAGGCGCGAAAAGTGCGCGAGGGTGCACTTGGGAGCAACAGGTGCAGCATCTGAATGTGAGTGTTCCTGGAGCGTGAAATTGGCCGCGCGACTTTTAAATTCTTGCTCCGCCATTCGGCATTCGTTTGCGCTTATTTCACGGCAAATATCGGACGGATAGAATTTTCGTATGTCGATTTACCTTTATGTTGATTTACCTCGTATTGATTTTTTTTGATAAAACGTACCAGTTTGACGTCAGGAAGTATGCCATATGCAGTATTATATTTTCGTGACCAATGCTTGCAATCGGAATTAACCATAACCTCGTTCTTTTTGGCTAAAATTTTTATTCATTCACTTCTAAGATAAAAAAAAATGTGTGAGAAAAAGAGAAAAGATAAACGAATACAAAAAGTTTAGTTAAAAAAAAGGCCTTGTGTTTTTGCGTTTGTGCGTCAAGAAAATGCTATAAAAGGACAACCATAAAGAAAAAAATGAAATGTAAAAGAATGACGACGGAGCAATTATAAGGTAATTGTTACAAACATATTATTCATTATAAAATTAATTTTTTTTTAATTAAATCAAGTTAATGGCTTATAACATTAATTTAGTTAGCTTAAAAAATATAAGCAAGAAATTAAATTCATTAAAAATTATATTAAAATTAAATTAAATTAAAAATTAATTATAAAAAACATTATTTATATTATCAAATTAACTATCAAATTTTTAAAAATTATGTTATGTTAAACTATAAAACAATTATATGAAACAGCTATATGAAACAAAAAATATTTAATTTTTTGACAATATAAGAAATCTTTTAATGTACAAATATTATAATTACAGAAGAAAGGAAATGTTTTAAATAACATATTTTTACCGATTTATTTAGAGATAAATTTTTATTTTTTTTCTTATTTTTAGAATATATAAATCTCAAATTTTCAAATGTTTTACAACCTGTCTGTCGATATTATAAAGACCACCACCTATTATTTTCAATATTTCCGAAATTGTCTTACTAGACAAAAAATCGTCAAGGATTTTTTGGACAAATGGAATAATCTTGCTCGCGGTCGAGGCATCCCTTACTATATCGGATGCCATATCGGAAATTATAGCACTTAGTACTGTGGATATTTCCTCGTCATTATAAAGTCCTGTTATACGGAGCTGTAAGTGATAAAAAAACTTATCAATAAATGTGAAATGAAAAGAGAAACAAAAATTAAAATTAGGAATAAAATATTAAAAGTAGCAAAGAATCATTGATTAATTGAAAATTAAATTGTGTTGTATTAGGAATGATTAAGCAATGAAAAAATTACTTAAAAATAAAAGATTAATTCTTGAGTAATAATTTAGATATGAAACATCTAATTTTAAATATTTTAATTTTGAATATTCTTATATAAAAATATTTTTTATAAATATCATGATATATGATTTATATAAAAAAATATACGTAATATGAAATTTAAATTATATTCTTAATTTGCATCTTCAATTTTATTTGAACAAAATAAAATTATGAAAATAAATTCTCGACCAACATTCAATAAACATGAATGAAATTTATCCAAATAAGAAAATATTCAAATATTTCGTTTAAAAACTATTCGAAAATTTATTGCAAAATTTCGAAATATAATTTCATATGCAATAACAATAATTGATCACAGGAAAAAGAAAAAAAGGAAAGGGATAATGGGATTCTTGTAATCTGTTTACTTACATTTAACAATTCCAAATCAAGCTTCAATTTTAGATCATTTACTTTAAAATGTTGGCCGTTTATTCCGAGTTGAATTTCCGTGTCGAAACCGAAGCCTCGTGCAGCCATACTAAAAATTGAATAGAATATATCGTCGGCCTTAACTTTTTACAATATAAGTATTTACTTGGAATTTGTAAATAATGAATATTATTATAATAAAAAGTAGAACTAACATTAGGACATTTGATAAGAATTAATTGAAAGTATCTGAATATTTTGAAATTTCCCAAAATTCAACTTGATTCTTGATCGTCGAGGAACGAATACTTACTCTATCGTACCGTCGCCATAAATTTCAAAATCGTCGATTTTACCTTTTATATTATACTTAGTATTTGCGGTTATCAATGGCCACGAAAGATTAACAGTTAAAATTATTTTTAAAGGCAACTTTATGCTGTAGTCACCAGCGTTAATGTCATATTCAGACAAGCCCTTTACGTTGATATTTGTCAAAAGTCCGTTTAAGCTGAGAATATGAGAAACATAAGTAAATTTTAACTAAATTGATCAATTACAGTACTTTCTCTCTCTTGCACGCTCTGTTCTTTTCGTTTAAGTAACATAGCGTGAATTATTATTACTCATTGTTATAAAAAGAAACAATATCGTTAGTTTTTCATAATTTTGTTAAAAGCGAAAGTTATGGATTTATAACTACAAATTAAAAAAAGCTAAACGTAACAAGACATGAATGATAGTACTTATCTATAGAATTATTACAAAACGTAGCAATTTTCTTTATATCGCGTATAAGACATTTAGTTAACAAAAAAGTGTAACTCGTACTTTACGTCCTCGTTAATGTTAATCTCCAAGCGGTCCTGAGTGAACGGATCAAGAACTGGAATTCCGAGTGTTTCATTTCCAGTTTTTATTAAAATTTTTACCTTCTCGAGGAATCCTTTCAGCTTATCACCGTCATACTTGCCTGCGAACAAAAATAAAAACTTGTGCGTAATACGTAATCAACGCTTACGTAAACAAACGAAAGCCTTGGACGATTTATATACATATATCTAATGATATACATAATATCTCATGAGAGTAGGAAAAATAATTAAGGTAGAAGAAAGTTAATGGCAAATGTTAATAAATTTAATAATTTAAATATTAAAGAAGAGACCGCACAGAATTAACATGTCTGTCAAAAGGGACACTCTACATGTATCCTTACAAAAAAAAAACTGTCAATCAAGAATGTCTTCTAGGGATCAAATGTTTGAAATACATGACTTAAAAATAGATTGTCCAAAAATAGCCAATACAAAAATAGATACAAAGATCTGTTCTGTAAGAACGATCTATATTTCTAGAAAAATATAGCATAGTGTCTCCAGAGGAATATAAAGGAATATAAGAACACATACACACATACGTGAAGAAATATAGATATCTACTTACCGTTTATTTCAATCGCCCAGACATTGCAACAGATCAAAATGAGCCCGAGCGCTACGATCAGCTTCATTTCTCTGCATAAAGTAGAAAGCACGATCTATTTAATTACTTCCAATCTATAGTCTTGTATCGATCTTAAAATTAATAAATTTTGCCGCTATTATTATCACTGGCCAATCGCGAATTGTTATCGTAAAAGGGCATTGCAATCGTCAAAAGCATTTTTTATAAATTTTCGAATATTCAACAATTGTGCACAAAAGATAAATCACTATAGTACTCAAAAGGAAATATATTCATAAATTACTAGATTACACTACGTTTTAGAATTGTATTTTGTAAATATTTTCTCACGCTCGCAAGGCTTAAAATAATTGTACTTTATAATTACGTGAGGCTCGTCGTAAATTACTCTGTGTCAGTGTTTCGTCCGAAGTCGCGTAATTTGTGATTAAACAGCACGAACAAATCTGTGATTCGGAAAAAGTATGAACATATTTATAGACTTCTCTTTATCAAATCGTTGAACTACATATCTATATATTTTATTGATTGTGATATCATACATAATCTTTGATTAAGCTATTGGCTTCTCGAAACAAACAAAGATACACAGGTTTTTAGCCACAGTTTTTTAGCACAGTTTTTTAAAAGTTCTAGTTCGAGATAATAAGTTACAATCAAAAAATAAAGATAGATCGTTTACGCTAATTTCCAGATGGTGTAGTCAGAAAAAATTAAATATAATTATATAATCAGAATTAATTTTATTTTGGTGTGTTTGATTTTTTTTCTAACGACTCCTGCAAATCTTATCGAGATTAGAGATTAGATTGGAGATTAGATTATAAGTCAGCTTGTTACGCTGTAACGCAATTAAATAACGTAACGTAGGAATAAAACTTGTTGATTTTGAAGGAAGCTAAAAATTGTAGGAATTTTTTTTAACTCGTGCATGTTCATTCTCACGCGTATAAAATAAGATAAGAAGGATATTTCATATTATTATAATGTTTTCTTTATATTGAAACTGAAATTTATTTCTGTATGCACGAATGATAAATTGTACTGCTCTAGTAATGTCAAGCAATTTATATTTGTATAAAAACATAAAAATTTTTATTAAAATTATTTTCATGAACTATAGTTTGAATAAATCTGCTAAATAGGGAAAATGTATTACCAATAAGATTTATTACATTGGCACACATCAATGTTGCAAACAATATTACAGATAATATTACAAATTTGTTATATTTGTTATATTATTTAACTGTAAATTGATGATGGGAAGATACGATAAATACACAATTATTTTGGCATCTCGGTAGATACGCGTATAATTGAAATAAATACACAGATGAGTAAATAATTCGATTTAATATCGCTGATATTGTTTTAATTTAAGATTGTACGATAAAATTGAGAGAGTATGTAGTATATAGTAACGTAATACGCGCTAAAAAAAAAAAGATTAGATTAGTTTTGAAGTTTAGATATTTTCTTTTTCTTTCTCAATTATAGATTTTATCTTTCTTCCTGTTTGGATAAAATAAATCAAATAGCAATTTTCTCTTTATGCAAATTATATCAGAGGAATCAAAATTTTCAAAATTTTCTCGGAAGAGAAGGGGGAAGGGAAGAATATGCTTACACTGATTTTTCAGAAAAATTACTTTATGTAAAAGATAATAAATTTATATAAATATATTTCTTTCGTTTTTTTTTTATACTTTATCATACGCATAGAAAATAATATGTTTTTTTTTATATTAACATGAAAATGACACAAGGACTAAAATGGAAATCTTATTATAAAGAAAAACGTATTCTCTCTTCTTACAATACAGAATTTATTTAATTAAGATTACAACAAACTTCGTTAAGGATTTTTTTTTTAATTCTTGACGTGCTATCAATAAATGCTCTTTAAGTGCATTCACTATTCACTTTTATCATTTAACCAATTGAGATCGCAATTGTACAAAATAATGACTCAAACAACATCGATAACAAAAGAAACTACAGACCTAGCATTTTCATCAAATCTTTAAACGTTATTTTGCTCAATATTTCGTTACCCATCTTTGTCACGATACCATTAAAAGTATCAACAATCGTCTTCTGATAATCCTTGATGAATTGAGGCATCAATTCGGAAATAGTCTTGCTCAATGCTGCAGACGTTTCGTCGTTATCATAAAGGCCTGTCACGTGGAACTGCAATGGAAAAAAAATTAGTTAGAAATAATTAAAAGCAATAATAACCAATAGCAAAAAATTAATTACAATTACATTCCAATCAAATTAATTAAAGAATAAAAAAAGTAAAATTGATTCGAGCAGTTTCTATTGGATCGTTGCATCTGAAACGTTGGATTTCAATAATTTTAACTGTCAGAATTACAGTAAACATATAATGTGAAGAAAAGTAAATCAACTTTCACCATTATGTTGATCATTTTTTCAATCATAATTTCTTTTTCTAATTGCCTAATTTTATTTACTATCTATATTATGATTTTAATATATATTGTATAATATATATTAATAAATATAATTTATATAATGTATAAACACACACTTATTAATCAGAAAGGTTCTGGAAACTCAGTAATAATTTTTTAGATAAATTATTTATAGATTTTTTTGAGTATTTTTAATAACGACTATTTGTGAGAGATTTGTGATCGATATTTCTAATAGTGCAGATTGATCGTCTCTTTTATACACATGTTGAAAGGTAAGACACGACATTTAACTTAATATTGTACAAATGGCGATTTTTTAAACGATATAAATTGATTAAAACAAGCAAAACTAATATTAAATTATTTTTTTATAATTTTATAAATTCATACAAGAATAACATTGAAAAAATTTGTAATATAAAAATAACTATGTTAACATGAAAAAAAATAAATAGAAATTGAATAATTTTGGATTTTTTACATTTTCTCAGAAATTTCTACAGATTCTTAATATAAAACTTTTATTTTATATGCAATAGCTAAATCTTCTCAGAATCAAATCGAACAGAAAGAGAAAATATAACAATTTTATAGTTAAATTACTTACGTCGAATCCTCCTAAAGAAATTCTCGTTGACATTGATTTAATTTGGATATGATTACCCTTTAATGAGAAGGCAATTTGAGTGGCAAAATTGAAGTTTTGTGCGACCATACTGTGGAAATTAAATATATTAAATGTATTACTTTAGCCTTAATCTCTCTTTATGATCTTCTAAATCAACTTTTATTTTTAAAAAAATGTCGAATATCGATAAATATATAATTTTAAAAGTAATTTTATTATTAGAGAAATATTTGATATTTCAATAATTAATTGTCTCAAGTTTTAAATAAATGATAAATTACTAAGTAAAAGAATTATTCGATCTTCAAAATATAAATTTCAATTCTTCAATTCAATGACGAAATATCAAAATATCTTATATATAGAAAATGCGTCGTTTAAATTTTTCTCGAAGCAATCTCAATTAAGCTCTGCGTTTGCTAAGGTCGAGTCTGACCACCGTAAGAAATCTCAACGTGATCGACGCGATCGCGTGTTTCGCGCGAAGCATATAAATCCAGTCACGATTTAATAACGCGCTTTTGTCGCAAACTGGCATTGCCTGATAAAGTCGCGAAAGCGCTGAATGAAAAATGGCTGACTCATTGTCAGTCATCCCAGCTCCCGTTTTTTCACGTGCATATTTCAAGCATTGTAGTTAAATATAGACGAAGCGGAATAAAAAGAAAAAAAAAACTACGGTTCTTTACGAGGGAAAATTAGCGATCTCGCTTACAGTAATATAATCATCATAATGTTATTTTATATTTTAATCGCGATATATACGATAAAGATAATCATAATATATCGTTATAGTTATATAATAAAATTACGACATGGAATAATAGAAATTATTATAAGATTACAATAATTTTTCTGAATTTTAACTTTTCAATTTTCTATATTTCTTTATTGATAGATAAATAAAAGTGCAAAAATTGGTAATGAGATTTCTCGCGTATCGGAAAATTGCCAATTCGCGATTAAAATTGCATGAATAATTAGATTCGCCAGGAAGAAACAAATACTCACTTTGCGTCTCCGGTTCCATAAACATCGACGCCGGCAACGCTGGCTTTCATGGTGTAATTAGTACTCGCCGTTACTAATGGCCAGGTGAGATCCATATTCATTTTCAAACCAATTACTTTAAAGTTAGCGCTGTTGACTGTGTATTCGGACAAGCCATCTACCCTGGCATTTGTCACAACCCCCTCAAATCTGTGAATATGCCGGAAAAAATAAAGACGATTTATTATCGATGATCATTACCCAACTTTACTACTTCATTTTTTATGACGTCTGATAACAAGGTGTCGTTCACAATATATTAAGTGACATATGTCTGTGTAACATGATAAATTAACATATATGACTTGACCAATTATCCATCCTTGGAAAATTGTTCCTTTAAGTCACGTGCGTAAAAATTCGCAATAAAAATATATCGCACTAATTTAGAAGACAGTAAAACGGAAGATATTAATTAAAAATTTATAATTGTGGTGATATTTTCTATAAGTAAATATATTAGTCTAAAAATATTACTAAAAAAAATTAAAAAATTAAAAAACACACTCGACGCACTTGATGTCACTTAGATTAAGATTGATGGGCAACTCGCTCAGAGTGAACGGATCAAGAACCGGAATTCCAAGCTTGGAATCTCCATTTCGTAACGTGGTCTTAAATCCCTCGAGAAATTGTTCCAATTTCGTTCTTTTCGCCAACTCAACTAAACATTGCGTGATATAAGAACATTAAACAATATAGTTTTAATGAAATTTTAACATTAATGAATATTGCACTTAATATGTTCAACTCTTTATATCTATTCAAATTTGTATAATTAGAAATAAGAATATTTATTCATAAGTTTTTCACATTTCACATTCACATTTTTTTTTTTATTTTTGATCAGTAACGTCCATTTCTATCAATGCAGATTAATTTTAATTTTAATCTTGGTTTAATTAATTTTTTATCTCTTTTTTTTCATTCTAATAAATTAGAAAAAAAAGAAAGAATAAATTAAATAGAAATTGTAATAGACATTGATAGAAATAAATATGAATCGATATTAATTATATACGTTATATGTGTGATTAATTACATAATTACAAATGTTATTATTTAAAAACTTTGTATGTTGAGTCTAACATTGCTGATAACTACTTGAACATATTAAAAAGGAAATTAAAAAATTTAAAAATATGCAAGGTACAGAAGGATGTGTAGAATCGCGGAAATTCATATCAATGAGGAATAGATTTCACGCGGAAATAAATCATTCATAAATAAACTATCACTTTAGATGTATAATACCTAAAATCTCTTTATCAAAAATTCCTCCCTGCATGAGGAGGAATTGCCGTCCTCAGACAGAAAACAGATGCAATTGAAAAATAGAATGTTCAAAAATAGGCGGCTTAAAAGCAGATGGTATAAAAATAAACGACGCAAATATATGTATGATATAACTGCGAGGACGACATATTTCTGGAGAATATATTACTCGATATACTTGTAGAGAAATATTAGAGAAGAAAAAATACTGGGTGTTCTACTTACCGTTCGTCTCAATCGCCCAGACATGGCAACAGATCAGGATAAGCCCGAACGCTATGAATTTCATTTTTCTGCACACACAAAGTAGAAAACACGATCGTTTTAGTTGCTTTCCGAAGACAAAGGAGGTCAGGATATCTCTCTTAAAGCTGAATCTATCGTTGTTCTGGCATTAAACTTGTGCCAGAATTAACGGGCGTAAAAACGTACCTTTGCGTGCGAAACACGAAAGACGAAGAGACTCCGGCGTGGATTCGACTGTGACTTAAACGAGACGACAAGTCTAACGCCGTGGATCACTTGTACTCGGAATCGCACGTTGGGCACCTATTTGTACCTGCATTCAGTAAGATTACGTCAGCGATATACTAATTACGCGCAAGTCGTTTGTAAGTCGTGTCTGTGCAATTGTTCTTACGCTTGCACGACTCGCGTCGCGTACGATAAGACTCACGCCGCTTGTAATTAAGAAAATTACGAATGTTGTACAGATCGTTGCTATTGGATTCGTGAGATCTCTTATCGGCCAAACGATATCGGACGGCTATTCGATTATTAGCGGTCGAAACGCAAAAACTCTAGTTGTTTCGTATTGTTGTTTTTTTTTCCCCCCTTTCCCTTCTTCTCTTTTGTATTACCTTTTCCTTTCCACTTTTTTTTTCCATTCATGTTTTTCTTTCTTTTTTTCCTTTTTTTTTTTCCCCCGTTATCTCGCATCCGATAGTCTCAGGGATAATTACGCCGGCGACATTGTTGTCCTTCCTGCTTCCCGATGATTTATTTGCCGCGTGCTCGAAGTGTACATCCGAACGCAATTAATTACTCTTGGCTTCGACGCGCTTTTGTTTATTTTTGACAGAATTGTCGCACCTTCCGTCTTTCTTATCGAATCCTCGATGAGAGTGAGGATTAGACGATAAAATATTCCGTTATAATCTATAATGCAATTTTTTCTGAAAGCGGCCGCTTGGTTTGCCGAGATTAGGCATCTGTTTACGCGTGTTATCGATTTCATCTTATTCGAACGAATTTTCAACGTTTTTTATTAAATAGATCGTGGGTAAGCTTTTTCTTTGTACTGAAAAAAACGTCGATGTAATCAAATTATCGGGGAGGGCATCAAAGGGATGCGCCACCAGCAAAAATTTCGCTTACAGTTAGCATCCATTTATACTCTCGAGAGTCGTCTCTAATGAGTATGAATATTAATAGACAGAATTATTCCTACCACTTATTCATATCGCATTCCGTACGTATATATTATTTTTTTATCTTAAATATTTAAAATGTTAATAAATTATCTGATAAAAATAACTATATGTATCCACTTTATTATTATAATTATTAAGATTAACCATAATTATACACATATATATATATATATATATATATATATATACATATAATAACATATATGTTACTTTGTTATTATAGTTTTATTTTGATTGCAATGTATTAGTAGATAATATTTTTGACATTGTTATTTTAATGCACACTATCACAAAAATCCACTATCCTTTTTTAAATCCGTCGTGCCAACAGATTGGAGTAGAATGGAGTAACGGGAGCGAGCGAGAACGGCGAGGGTGATCGGGTGGCCGACAGCGGGGTGGTGGCGGGCTGGGAGGGTTGAGGGTGCTCGGCCGGTGGCGAAGCGCGGGGGTGCGAGAGAGAGTCGGAGGGATGCGAGAGAGGAGGGATGCCAGGCCGCCCGCCGGTTCACCCTCACTAACCCGCGGCTCGCTCGACTCTTCAGTGCGGCCTGAACGGTTAACCGGCCTACTTCTCTCTCCTCTTGCGCTTCGCCGTTTTGGTCCCGCCGCTGCCAACCCTCGTCGTCATCGTCGTCGCCGTCGCCGTCGTCGTCGTCGTAGTCGTCGTCGTAGTCGTCGTCGTCGTCGTCGTCGCGACGTCGTTGCATTATCATCGTCATCGCTGTGGGACCTGCTCGATTGGTGTACCCAACCTGCTCGTCGATGTAACACCGCGAGAGGAACGCGAGACAAGAAACACTCGAGAGAACTCTCTCTCTCGCTCTTCCTTTCTCTCTATCTCTCTCTTTCTCCTTCTCTCTTTTTCTCTCTTACTGTCCGCGAGCGGCTCGCAGCCTCCGCAGCAGTTCGCCGCTGCGGGCAGCCGGCCTAAAAGAAGAAGAGAATAGTTCGCGCACGGAGGTGGTATTTCTCGCGCGGTGGTGGTGTTCGGGACTGTGATTCAATCTCGCTCACGAGTAAACGAGAGAGTTACGTCGAAGAGAG